ATTTTACAACTATTTACTTAAATACTTTAAATACTTTAATAGTTAATAATTATTATGCATGAGATTTTTAATTTTTAATTATTAATATGATGATAACTGATAAGAATAAGAAAAAGCGGAAAACATCAATATTTAAAACAAGCAAAYATTARACAACTAATATTAATCTATTAATTATTAATTATTTAATTATAATTTATAATTTTAGCCGTTAATCCATYGACTTTTATTTTTATTTCTCTGGTTCGATTATCGAACGGAAATATTAGATATTTGGTTTGGTTCGATTATTTGGAATTTCCAATTCGATTTTCGAATCGAACCGAACACCCAGAGTTCGGTTCGGTTCGAAAATCGAACAGTTCGTAACATCTCTAATTAATAGGTATAYAGTATTATTGAGCACTGGTAATTGAATGAAGATATATTTTATTTATGTATGAATATTATCGGTTGAAGTAAACACACACTTATAGCCAATGTTGGGGAATAATTTAACTTATACCTATGACAAGTTATACTAGAACGAACATTTTGAATAATTTTGAAATAATTTAAGTTCCTTTTTTGTTCCTAGTAAAGTTATTAAATAACTCATGGCTATATATTTTTATACTTATATTTTGAAAACAAATAGATTATTTATTTATTTACTATAAGTATATAATTTAAGTAGGTAGGTAATATCTATTCGACAAGAATATTTTGTTTTTCATAAATAGTGATTTGGAAAATACGTTATTTAAAAAAATAAAGAACACAATTAAAACTTTGGTAATTATTTAAATATTATTTTTAAAATGTCATTAATGGTTGCATAGTTATAATAGGTATAATATCTATTCGACAAGAATATTTTGTTTTTCATAAATAGTGATTTGGAAAATACGTTATTTAAAAAAATAAAGAACACAATTAAAACTTTGGTAATTATTTAAATATTATTTTTAAAATGTCATTAATGGTTGCATAGTTATAATAGGTATAATATATTAAGAGGACGCCACACCCGCATGTGTTGTCTCCGTCTTACAAACGTATAACATAGCAAAATCTGTTTAGTGCGGGACAGCAACTGTTTTATAATAGAATTTTCAAAATTTCACAACACATAGGTAAGAACTTTATCTGTGTCATAGCGTCGATATTTTTTTGATAACATTAATATAATTAAAGTTATAAGCTTAAGAAAATACTTTTATTTTTTCATTAAATTACTTAAAATTATTGGTTTGTGCTATCAAAAAAAATAACGACGCTATGACACAGATAAAGTTCTTACCTATGCGTTGTGAAATTTTGAAAATTCTATTATAAATATTGAGGGAGAACAGTTGTCCCACGCTAAATAGATTTTGCTATGTTACGCATTTGTAAAACGGAGACAACACATGCGGGTGTAGCGTCCTCTTAACAACATAGTAGGAATATTGAGCTCTCATAATGTTTTTTTAAAATAAAAATTAACTTTAATCGTAATGAGGGTTTTTTTAACTCAAAATAATGTAAATTTACCAAATGGAAAATAATAATAAAATAACAATCTTATTACAATTTTGAAAAGTGTAATTCGTAGGTAATATGATTTAATCACCGAAAAAAGTATCTAACTTACACAAACCGCTTATAGCAGTTATAGCCGTAAGGTTGAGTGCCCAACGTATGACATAATAAACGTGCAATATAATCAACATTAATAATATTCCGTTGGGGTTTTTTTTTTTTTATAATTTTAACTCTGTGATCACAATTAGTTTCAAAAATTACTTAATATAATATAGATGAGGTTGCTTATAAGGAAAATAAAATGAAAAACAGTAACAATAGTATACAATTAAATTAAAAAGCCTACACGATCAAAGAAATAGATAATACTACATTATATTCAATAATAGGTGGTCACGATGTATTGATATAGGTTGGGACAGATGAAGAGTGAGAGGTTGAAATATCATTCCGTTGTTAAAACGGCGAATAAACCATAATATTCTTAAGTGACAATAATGGATATTATAATATAATAGCACTAGTATGACGCGACTGTGCGCATAATGTTAAGGCATAGGCATAATAAGTAGRACGTACTCACTGCTAAAAAGAGCACTGGTTGGAGCGGAGCAGCTATTGAACGCTTTGGAAACAAGACTTACGACAACCGAACGATGGTGGTCCGTACGACTCTCGCGTGCGAATCATACTGTACACGAAACACACGAGAGGCGCTCAAACTAAACTGCAACAGCAGCAGCATCGGCCGGTGACCATAGTAGCCGACGCCGAAGACCACGTGCGCGAATCGGATGGGTAGGAGGAGACGATAATTATTATTGTTATTATTATTATTATTATATAACACGCCACCGCTGGAGCTGTGATGTCGCCGAGTGTCAGTTCGATGATGATAATAATAATTTGTTTTGGATTCCGGATCGACCTTGACCGGTGGACCGCGATTCTGCAGACAAGGTTAGAGGAATCGGGGAAACGAATACGTTATTTGCGGTGAAAAACGATGATGTTTGTAAATGATATTAGTGATATAAGTATATTATTATATTATTATTATTATTATTACCTATAATCTTCGTAGTCGTGTCGACTGATATACAGTCTTGCGCATCACGAGAGTCTGCGGGAAAGTCGGACAACTCGTTTGGATTTAATAATAATAATAATTTTTTTTTTTAGACTAAAGCAAAAAACTTTATTTTGATTTATTACCGAAGTAGGTACTTACCTCATATATATGCTGCTATGTAATATGTTAATTTTTTTTTTCAACTTTAATAATATCATTAATTTACATTTACATTTTAAAAATAATTTAATCTTCGCAATCAATAATTATATATAAATATATAAATATTAAAAATTAAAAACTTTACGAAATAAAGTCAAATCATGTAGGTAAATAAGTATATGACATGATAGAGTAATTTTCAAAAATATATGAGAACACATTAATCAGAATTAAACGAGTAACAAAAACATACTGTTTTATAATATAACTAGTTTTACATTAATATTGTATGAATAATGAAATCGATTTTATGTTAATTTCTCTGATTCACTGGAACTTAGATTTGCCCTTATTAGAATGTGCCTATAGTGATTAATAAAAAACAAAAAAACGTAGATAATAATTTGCACACGGAGTATTGTATACGACGACGTATAACCAATCTGACGTGTTAGATTTAGATTTCATAAACATTTCAAACTGACATCACATTATTTTGTATCTGCCTAATATGATATTTTATAAAAAAATTCGTTGTATGCGTTATTACGAGAACTTACAACAATTTATAAATAAAATTAATTTCCACGTTAGATATAATAAGGATGTATAGACATCTGGGACTCTATATTATGCTAACCATAGAACTAAAAAACAAAATATCACCGGAAAACCAATCGTGATAATCCACGAAGATTATCTTCATAAGTTAGCTGACAACATATGTAAGTGCGAATAATAATCCCGATGACCCACACACATCATATTACATTGTGAACAACAGTTAAAGCGACGGTTTGCTAAGCCATTGTTTGGCGCGTAAGACAAAGGCATATTGCCACTATTATCTGTGTTCCCTCAATCAGAATCGAAATCGTACCAGCGCATTCAGTATTCAACGTGTTAACAAAGTTTAGGACTCGTGAATCTTGTTTGTTCTTTCTCTATTAACCGTCGTCTCCATGCATTGATTATAATAAAATTGTAGTCAATAGTTACGTGTTATGTGTTTATTGATTGCACGAAACTCGACAATAACTTCGATTCACCAGCGTAGTTGATTCTCGCGCCCTATATCATGTTGAGAATGCTCATTGATTGGTTAGGTTGTTAGGTTGTTGCTTGCCAATGTTATAGACACACAATGGATTAATCAGTTCTCAAAATCRKTTCTCGAGTTGATTTGATAGCTGACTATGAAAATCYCTCATCCTGAACATRATTATTATATGTTGGTTAATTCAGGGCCGTATTTAGGAATTTGACACCAAGGGGCAACAAAAAAAATACGCCTCATTAATCATTATTCAAAATACAAATTTAAATTATAAAAAAATTAGCCGCCTTCTCCTACTCAGACGCCCGGGRCAACAGTRCCCTGTAGCTCCCCCCTAAATACGCCCCTGGATTAATTGGTCTGATTCTTAAACGTAATTCTTTAGACGACGGACGTTAGCAATTTTGAAATAATTTTTAACATTCAAGGATTGATCGAAATGAGAGTCAATACTCCTATAGAATAGTTGAATGGATATAAGCCTTTAATATTGATATCCGAGACTCCTACCAATACCAGGTTTCAGGCCATGTTGGGTACCGGTACTATCTCATCTACGAATGCTCTTCTATCGATAATGGTGCGTAAACTAGAATATTTATGCTATGATAATATATTCATATATCATATTATTATACACTTCCGTTGTTTATAAGGTTTATATTATTCTAATATTTGCTGGTATTATTTATTGCTACAAAACACTTGTTTTATATGTATACATTTTTTCTTTAAATTTTAGTATGTATACATGCATATACAATATTTAATACCGGTTTGAGAATATTATACATTATATTTTTCTTGTACCCGTGGTTGAGAAATCCTCCAAATGTCGTTGAATTTATTAAATAAATTAAAATTGATTTTATAATTGCCTATTTATACGAGTTTGATTTTGGTTAAAGGAAAGTTTTGTTAAACGCTTATACAGTTAGACGCGTACTACATAGTTYTGACTTCTTATGATGAATAGAAAATAGAAAAGCTTAGACAATACTTTAAGACATCAAAACACGTATATAATAATAAAGTGTTGTAAATATGCTTGCAATATATTATTATTATAAATAGCACAATATTTTTTGAGATTAATTTTCAGCGAACAATAATTGCAATGACTGTGTATTTTATATTGTTAAAGTGTGTAATAATAAACAATATGATATTGACAAGATAAAAACCAGAATTTAGTTCTAGTGTTAAATATATTATTGAACCTCTCTCATCAGTAATAAGTATTAAACATAATATACATACTATTAATTATAAATTCACGCAGAGTGCACCTATTCAATGGACMAACGAATATAATAATTACCTAACACAATATCATCTGGATTTAATTACCAACATTCCAGTTTTTAATTAAAATTAGTTTTAAAAATGATACGTATGTCAACTGTAATATTATATATAATTATAATACAACAAAAATTAATCACGTTGAACGAACATGTATGCAATATAAACTCGTATATAATTTTGTTTATTTTTGCAAGTTTACAAGTTTACAAGTTTACATTTACCAATGTTTTATTGGTTAAATATAATATTAACAACATACCTACTAGTATTTAGTATTTGTTACAGCAATGGGCCCTTTGATATTTAGCCACACGAATAACGAATGTGAAAATATACGAATATTAATCATGTGTTTAAGGGAATCCCGCCCGGTAATTTTCTGTCWTTATCAAACCCACGTGCTATATATTATGATTTTAGACATGTTTTTTGACAAACATGCTGATTAATGTGTAATGAAATGTAAAGAATTCTGAAAACAGATTTAAATTAATCGTAAAGTCTACTTATTCACTCCGAATTTTCGATGTATGAAATAACTGTGTGTGTGCAAGCACGCGTGTCTGAAGTTAAACTTCGTAGTTGTTGKATTCATAGAATTTCATATGTGATACTGAAATGAGAAATTAAATGAAAAACAAAAACAATATTATAATATGATTTTATACACATTTACCTTATACTACATGTATATATATACTACATACCGATTACCGAAGGGATAATGTGGAGCCTGCCCCGCCTATTTCCATGTGATTCTACCAATGAATGTTAGCTTTCGTGATGCTCATTTTCCATATAAAGACATCTGAGCACGCTGAGGAAAATAGTTATCGACCTGAAGAGAGCATAACTAAGTAGTATATATTATTGATTTTTAATAAACGATATTACATGGAGGTAAATACATGTGAAAACAATTTGGCCTCCATATAGTGATGACACGTGAAAAAAAAAGGTATCATATTGATTCCTCCATAACTTAGTGGTTAAAGCAAGGGTCTCGTAAAAAAAGGAACTATATCGATTATTATATTTTGTCATCAAGACAAGCTACATCATATAATTTTCCTTCAAGAACCTACAKTACTGTAACCAAWACAAACGAACGAACAGTCGAACGGGGCACTCAAATGTAACGGTCACGTGATCTAACTTCTTTCTCACTGGCTGCTTAAAGAAGTTTCACTTCAAAAATTGTTTGTTTTATATAATTACCTATTTAACAATAACTGKGCTACAMCCTCGGCTTGGAATTCGTTTTAGTTCTAATAAATTCTACATTAAAGTCAGAATGAAAAATAAAATTACGTTTTTAAATTTTTATTACCTAACTTAATTTCAAATCAAATACTTTTATACACCATAAAACYGGGTCTCCTTGAATGTATATTTACTATATAATTGTAAACATACATAGTTAATTTATAAAAAGCTATCAAATAAAAATAAAATTTTGCATAGACATTATTCTTTTGCAAGGAAAATTGATAAATCATAGATATGATTATGTATTTATGTGTTAAGAGGTGGCTTAAAGAATTTTCAATTATGTTTTCTGTGCCCAATCTATACTAGTTGACCAGTAGTTGTATACCCAGTAATGAAATAATTCATCCACTGAATGTCTTGACATCCTAACTATCCATAAATAATGTAATAGTTGAAGATAATATTATTGCTCGTTGCAGATTATATATTTTTATTTGTTATATAAGTATCAACAACAAGTTGTATAATTATAAAGTCTATTACCATAGACTTTATATTAATAGACGGAGTATAATATAAGACAGGCAAGATGGTCTCGGGTAGTGTGATGGCAGCAAATTGCGTTASAGTGATGTATTATTATAATAAGTCAATATAACGAAAATGTTGACATCAAAAACCAAACAAATTGCTATCAGACTTAATACAACTTAATTTATAATTCGTTAAATTAATACGAAACTAGTAATAAATATTCATGAATCATGATAATAATATAATATAATTACATACTTGTGTTGATCTTGTATAGGTAGGTACATGAGTTTAAGTGTGAAATACTGAAAGAGATTGTTTTATTGTTTAAGAACTTACTATTTAAATGCCTAAACGTCGAGGAAA